TAGTCCACTGCAGTCTCTTATTATCCCTTGTCTCTGGAAGGGGCAAACATTAACTAGACTCATTAGGCTTTTAGGTTTATTCTTATAAAATCCAATTTTGACAAGAGATCCACTAAGCCAGTTTAGCCAGAGCCCAATATCTCTATAGTTGATCAGCCTCCCTGTCTCCTTGGGGTCCTTAACCTCCACTACTGCGGGCGACGACTGGTCAGCTGAGTCTGCCTTCACGCAGAGTCCTGCGAGGCTGGCATGGCCATAGCCTCCCTCATCCCCGACATTTTTCTCCTGGTTAATTTCCACCCACCAGATCCACTAGCTTGTTGACTGTAATGCCACCTGCCTGGGCCATATTTGGAGTTGACCCTTTCTCTCCTGACTCCAAAATCCTGTTGAAAAAAAAAACCCCAAAAAACAAAAAACTCGTCCTTGTGAAATTCACCTGCACCTGTCTTGAGGGTCCTGAGTCAAGTCTGCCACACCTCACATTGACCAGCATCACCAAATAGTCTCTCCTTTAACTGAGGCACAGAATTATTAAATAAAATAACAGAATTATTTTGTGATTTGCAAAATTTCCCTAGTAAAATTTTACAATGATCTCCTCTTTCAGGTTTTTCTTTTCATTTATTTAGATAAAACTAAATGGAGCTATAGTTAACTTTAACTGAATAATTGAAGACAAGAAAACAGAGAAATGAGAGACTGATGAGGAGAGACAGAGAAAGAGAGGGGGGATCCTGAGCTAACTAGAGGCTTGTGGAAGGGGTAGCGTTATGGCTGGACAAGAGGTCCTTATATCGGGTGTCCTTACATCTCTGTCTCTCTTCCTGAGCCCTGGAACCACTGCTGAATAACCCGGGCTGAAGGAGCACGGAGTTAGGTAAAAGCAAGAAACCCCACAAGAAATGCAACCATCAAGGTATAATTACCATTAACACAGACATGTGTGCATGAGTCATACTACAAGTGGGGCTTTTAAACCAGGCTTTCTTTATCCTCTGCATCATTTGGTCATCACGCTTACCCCTTGGATCACATTCAATCCCCTCTTTATCGAAGCTCTGCTCCTATCCTTTTGTTTGTCCTATACTTTCCGGCCTTCTCATATAATCGTGGTCTAACGAGAGTTTGCAAATACACATGCAAACACACACGTGGGCATGTGCAGCATTAGTCAGCTTATGCCGAATTGCATGTGCTAATAAGATCCCTGATGCCTTAGTGGTTTTCCCCACAGTTTTGTCCTGATCCTGTAAGTTCTGCTGGCTGTGGGCCAACCAATGGGGGCAGCCATGGACTACGATGCAGCTCAGCCATTGAGGCCGTGTGATGGAACGGTTCCATCCTTTCTTATGGAGGCCTCTGCTTTCACTGGGGCAGAGGGGAGCTCTGGCCAGAGGCCTTTCCTTCTAGGCCCTTCTGGAGTGGATACACTAAAGGTCTCACTGGTTCTAACAGATGGCAACACGGACTGAGTGGTGTCTGGGGCTACGAAGTTGGTGAGGGAGAACACTCAGAGGGACAGTGCATTCCTCTCGCCCCTCTTGCCTGGATTCACGCTCTATGATTCCGCCTGTTCCCCCCAATCTTGCTAGCACAGCCTCACACAGTAGAACAGGGAAAGAATGCAGGGACATTCCCCCTGTGGAACGTCCCAGAATAACTCCACCAGGTAAACACATTCTTTCCTAACAGAAATCTGTTGGGAAAAAATGATCTTTCTGAACAGTGATCAACTGCTGTTGCTAAAATCAGAGCATGATTCGTTACAACTAAGTCCTCCAGAAAAAGTGCCACTGCCCAGCTGCTGTGCCACTCTGGAAAGGACACATGGTGCTGGAGGCCAGTGCCACTGGCAGTGTGGCTGGAGTCAGAGCCACTGGGTGTTTTGTACTTTTAGCCTCACTACAAGTGGCCCACAAGGGAAACCAGTGGGTTGGTTCTCTCATGCTCTTGGAGAATAGATGTGCGTGGTTGTTTTAGTGTTTAAAATTTTGGGGGATCATCATTTACTGACAGTAAAACTGGAACTGGGTTGTCTCCTCATTATTCTCAAAGCTGAATTCCTATGGAAGGATGTTTCCATACTGATACATTTTTGACTGCTTTTGTCCTTAAGAGGGACTTTACAGAGATGCTATTTATTAAAGTTTAAACTAGTAGAGGGCTGGGAATGTGGCTCAGTGGTAGAGTTCTATCCCTGCATGCACAAGGCCCTGGGTTCGATCCCCTGTGCCACACGCAAAAAAGATGCAAGTAAATAGAGCAAATGTCATTGCCAGGCTAACACCATTCTGAGGATGTTTTCTTTCAGAACCCTTCATGCAATTGTGTTTCCCAAGCACGACATTCCTCTGTATAATTAATACCACAGGCCCATAGCTCAGAACCAAAGCATTCCCGGCTGCTATGGTAACAAGGAGCCTGATGACTGCAAACTGTGATGTACACACAGTCACAGGTGGACATTTTTCTAAAAATAAAATTTCTTTGAGGAAAATATCTGTTTTGAGAAATACATTGGGAAAATTTTTTAAAAACAGAAACAAAGAGCTAAGTACATCTATTCTTCAACATGCATAGAGACCATCAAAACAATTACTGGTTTTCTGACAGACGTCCCTTAGAAAGCAGATAATTTATGGACAGTTTTATATAGTCAAGTGTGAGACTCACACGCATGTGCTATTTTTAAGATGAAATGACTAGAACTTCACTTGCTGCTTCCAGGCCTGTTGGCTTATTTTGTGCCATTATTTCTATTCTTCACTGATAATATTTGCTATTATGTAAAGAGCATTTAAATTGAAGAAGTAAATTCTCCCCCTTCCACAAGTTGGACAAATTTTGGTGTACAAATCTTTCTCCACAAAGAGGAATCTGATCTTTGTAAACTGAATCTTTGCACACCTGAGTAGGCGCAGGATTTATCTGTTCTGTACCATCACAACAAAGCCACTGTGTTCCTGCCAAGGCAAGAAGAGTCTGTTCTAAATTTCTGCACCACGGGCTTTCCCAGCCCATTTGGTGTCTTTGGTCTTTGATGATGTTGATCTTTCCACCCACCCTGCAGCATCACGTCGTAGTTCCCTGAGGAAGCAGTGTGGTAGTCATGCATGGCTTGACAAAGGCCACTGGCCCTCGGGCCACCCTACTGTGAGATACTGGGGGACAAGAAGTTGTGAAATCTCATGGTTTCACTGTGACAAAATGTTTGGAGAATGATTCAGCAAAAACCATACACCTCACCGAATGTTTCTCACCCCCAAGGTTCTTAAGGAACATGGAGTTCTTCAATGAAAGCTTCAGCTCTCTGGGAGGGAATTCTGTGTAGTCTTTCCTAGAAATAAATATGGTGGCTCCCTCTTGCATTTGTACAATTAGAGAGATTTCTTCCTTTGTGGAAATGTGGGGGAAGATCACCTGCCGAGCAACGAGTCTCCCATTCATACTCAGGGACAAATGAGGTAAGTAGAGACGAAGAGCTCAGCACATGGTCCACGGCCACTGGGAGCAGGGCCTAGTGAGGAAAAAGCCACGGGCTGGGGAGGATGTGGGCACCACGTTGGAGTCTGGACTTGGGGAAGAGGGGCTCCCTCTCTTCCAGATTCAACTGCCAGATGAGCCTGTAGGACACTGGCCACTGGAGAGGGGAGGTCTCCACTGTGAAACTGCACTGGTGGAACTGAGACAGTGCGTGTGCACAGGACGGCCAGGAAGGAGCGCACGGCCATGCCTAACTTTCTTTCTCTGGGCCCGGAATCCCTTCCTTGGTGGGTCAGCTTGCTCTTCACAATGATGGGGTGCTTCTCACACCATGAAGTTCTGACCATGGGGGCAAGGACCAGCCAGGATCTCCTTCTCAGACCTTAAGTCCTGACCACAGTTACACAGGGACGAAAGGTGGCTGCAGTTAAGGCCACCAACTGAGAAGGCGAAAGAGACCCATGAACAACTGCTGCTGTCACTGCTGCCAAGACGTTGGGACAGGAAGAAGCTTGGGTCATACTGTTCTCAAGACTGAGTACTCAGCTTTTCCATCTGATTCAGTGAGCGGCTGATTCAGCCCTCTGCTTGGGCAGCACCGACAGAATACAAAAGGGGTACTTAGCAAAGCCCAAAAGAGGCACTGTGCCAAATTCTTTCAGGTATGTACATTGCCTGTACCATTCGTGACACTGTAACGACTGATGTCATTATACGGTGTAGTCCCAAAAGCTGAAGTTGGAGCTTCTGGGGCACCACCCACTGAAGGACACCGTAGAAAACTTTCTCCTGACCTGGCTGGCCCGCTTCGCAGGATGCCAGCCTCCCTGAGATTAGTTGTTCCGCCTCCACTGTGCTTGTTAGAAAGTTCTTTCCTACTGAGCCGGGCGGCTTCATGGGCGCTTACTTCATCGGCAAGGCCTGCTGGTCTGCAGAAGGCCTAATCCCTCTTTATGGGCTGGCACTCGATCTATTAGAAAACAGCTCTGTGCCCTGCCCAGCCCCTCCTGGAGCTTTGATGTCTTCCTGAGGCCGCCCAGGCACGTGGAGACTCACACTTGACAGCCAACATGTGCTGGAGCCAAGCCTGTGGCACGTCTGGGAATGACCCCCGGATGGGGATTCACCCTCCTGGGCTCCTTCTGTACCCTCCGGATGGGCACTCCAGGAGCAGGAGTCTCTGCTCTAGATTCCAGGGATTCCAAGGGAGCCGCGGAGCAGCCAGCACGCAGGAACCTCTGATCTCACTCATTCCAGCTCCAGGAAGTGATTTATTCCATAAGGCAGCTGCTTAAAAACAGCTTTTATAGAACATATTAAAAACAAGCTCTTAAAATACTAGGAGACCAGGTCAAAGACACACATATTTCTGTTCAGCCTCTTTTTTCTTTTTTCAATAAAAATAGCTTCTTAGCAAATTTGTATAAAAGTTAAAAACGCAGACACTGAGACAGTGCTAGGGCGTTTCTTGGTAATGGGACGTGCTCCTACGTGCTGCAGTCCGTTTCTAAAAGTCCACTGAAATGTCGACTGTGTTTGAACTATTTTTTCCTAAGGTAGCAGTGGAAATGGGTGTCAGAAGCTCAGCGTGCAGCAGACGCAGAGGGGCCTCCCGGGGAGAGAGCACTGGAAGCCGAGGACCTGGACAGGCGGGTCTCCCCTTCGCCTGGGGAGCAGCGAGCAATTGGGAGCTACGGGGCTGAAGCAGACCCAGGTAAATGCAGATTCTGAGTTTAAGGAAACTGGTACAGAGAACAACAAGCAGTGATGGGAGAGAAGTGAGTACTAAGCTTAAGTAAAAGAAAAACAAAATAAAAATTGGATTTTATATCTACTCTGGATAAACCTGTATTCATTCAGCTTGTTGGTTAACATAAGTGAGAAGAATTCATTAAATCCCATTTGCCTGAGGCTTTACATTAGTGCCCTATATTCTAAGGTTTTCCAAGCTTCATAAATAAGCATGAGTTTCCTCTTTCCCTTTCTGCTGTCCCTTATTTTAATTAAGTAAATTGCTATGGCTTACTTTGTTCTTGAAGAGTCTTTCTGTTGTCCTATTCCTGCTGCCCTCCTAAGTACTCCAGATGGGATTATTTTAATACTTTAATGGCGCCCCTTCTCCTTCCTTATATTATTTCTGGCAGCTGGGCACAAGGTACCAGACAGCAGCCACAGCAGTTGGATAAGCTCCACCCTTGAGCCACGGGAGTCAGGCTGCTGAGCACAAGGCCTGCAGGCTTCTGCAGAAGCGCACCTTCCCACAGAAGTCTATGTGCGAAACTGCCATGGCGGCTGCACACCCAGGGGGAGTCTGTCCAGCTTGACAGAGATTTCTGGATCTTTCGAGGGCAATGGATTCATGTTGTAGTGTGTGTGTGTGTGTGTGTGTGTGTGTGTGTGTGTGCGTGTGTGTGTGACAGAGAGAGAGAGAGACAGAGACAGAGAGAGAGAGACAGAGACGAGACAGAGAGAGAAAGGAGGGGGATAGAGGAGAGACAGAGAAGACAGAGGAGTGAGGAGAGGAGAAACAGATGGGAGAGGAGAGGGGAGGAAGAGAGAAGAGAGGAGAGGGGAGAGCGTGGTCACCCTAGCACAGCCGTGTATCTTGGGTGCGGGTGGGTAATGCTGCCCTAAATAACTTGAGCTTCCACTGGCTGGCTTTTGTTCACAGCAAGCGAGCCCTCTCAGGTGTATTCCTATATAAAACACTGCAGATTAAAGGGTTCACAGGAGTCTCAAATCTCTTCAGTTCCATAAGGTAAAAAGCCACTTAAACTAACAGTTCCACCATGATTTTGACGGTACTAACAGTGAGTCATTTAAAAACTGTCCAATTCATTGTAGTAAATACTAATATATGATATAGACAATAGCAGGTAGCAAGGCACTAACAGCTGCCACGTGCATGGCAAGGTTCTTTTCTATATTCATTTCTTTGCGCATAGCTCTCTTTGGGAACGAGTGACTATCTCACGTCAAGTGCAGTGATGGCAAGGGAGACCCAAAGAGAAGCATCACCTGGTTTTGGATTCAAAGTAGCCTGCTTTCTGTGCATGAAACTGCTGGACTGTCCTGACTCCGTGTGGAGTGACTCTTGGCGGGGGCATGCAGCTCTGCACACCGCGTCCTACTGCAGGCTCCTGTGGCTCTGGGGATGGGAGCAGCAGCGGGCCGTGATGCGGGAGGGTTGCACTGACGGCCACCCCATCCCTACACGCAAGCGAGGTGCCACCACTTACCTGCATTTTTAACACAGGCTGCACATGGCAGGGCTGAGCCTGTAACACGGGCTTTTGGCACAGTGCTGAGTTCTCTGCCCTGAGAGCCTCTTTGTATTGTCCAGTGACCAATCCGTTATTTTTGAGGCAGAATCCCTAACTTCCTGGAGTCTTGGGAGAGCTGGTCAGGAGCAAGTAAGTATCTATAAGAGAAAAAAGAAATCTTTGTGTGAAGCACAGGTTGATGGGTAGAGTACTCTGGGCTGGTCTGGTAATCTGGCGATTTCGGGTACACATTGATGACTTAATGCTAGAGGTCATGGAAGTGCTGTGTCACGTCCAGCGCAGTCTAGCTTCTAGGAAATCATGTTGTGCAGATCCAGGCTGCGGCAGGCAGCAAGCTGTAGCTGTGGAAGGAGCTCACAGATGCTGTGGGGACAGGAGTGCCAGCCTTGTCTTATGTGGCCGGGGCAACTCCTGCTCAGCAGCTGGGGCGGGCTTGGATTTTCACAGAGTTGAGCCTGTGGCAGCGGTCTGCCTAGGCTGTGTTGTTACCTTCCTCAGCTGGATGGATTAATGCAGCAGGCAATCTGTATGTGCACAGAAACCCAGGACTGTAACCATAGATGAGGATGGCCATTTACATTCCGCTCAAAGGTCCAAGAAGTCCCTGTGACCACATGGGATTAGGACACATTAAGCAGTGTGAGTCATTTTAGGGCAAGCCAGACCAGGGAAACTGAGGCTGGAGCATGGCAGGTCAGGCTGCCCTGCCTCTGGGCACGAATGCGTGTCTGCAGCTGTTGTCCTGTTTTGTCAGCTGGCTGTCACCAGCTAGCTGCATCTGCTGGGTTTAGGCTCTCATCTGAGACAGGTTGCAGTGACAATGGCCCAGTGATGGTTGTCACAAGGCTTACAGGACATGTGTAGGATGCTAGGCAGGTGCTTGCGATGGCACATGGGACAGTGTCAGGCATTGTGGGTGTTTGCCTGCACATCTGCAGTCCCCTTCGCCCCACTGTTCTCACCCCTACCTGATCGCTGTCCCTTCCTGCTGCTGAGGAATGGGCTGACAGGCCTGAGCTTGTCATTGTGAAGGGATGGGGAGCCCGATCAGCCACTGACTCCCAGCCCAAGCTTTCTCCTCTCCTCCAATGCAGCCTCCATGAAAGCTGAGCACGTTTCTGCCTGTGCAAGCCTCAGCTGCTCATCTGTGGTGTCACTAACCCAGTCTACAGGCCCTGCAGTGGTCTGCAATCGTGGACAGAGCTCCTTTCCCACACTCAGCTCTGCAAGTTACCAGAATCACATTTGGGACCTTGGGAGCTTGGCTACGTGGCCCAGTACTTGGCAAGGGAGAAGAACCACAAGGAGTGGTACTGCAAACACCAGACTCACAGTAGCATCTGAGCAGTGCTTTGCCTGCTCCAGGCGACCCCTGCCACTTGCATTTCTTTGTGCCCACAGGCTTGCTGCATTCGAGACCTCCTGCTCCTGGCTCTGCCAAGCCCAACGGGAGCTCCTTGGGCAGCTGACTTGCTCAGCCAGGAGCTAAGCTGAAAAGCAGTCGTGCTTTTCAGCCCAGCACAGGCTAAGGCGCTAAGCTGCACCTCCTGGAGCCCTCCCGGAGACCAGACTTGGCTCGGACAAGCGTCTCGGGTCCTGTCCAGGTCTTTCCTCTCCACAGGCTGGATCATGGATGTGTGTCTCAGCTCCGCGAAGCAGCCCCAGTGCCTGGGGCAGGCACCGAGGTCCCCAGGCGGCTGGCCAGATGCTGAGGAGGGGGGCAGTGTCTCAGAGGATGGCACCGGGGGACCCGCAGCAGGTAAACACCTTCTTGGTCACTGGAACAGCTTCTTTCAGCTGTTTTCTTATGATGACATTTTCAAGTAAACTTTGGCAACAAGAATTTCTATTTCTTTCTCCTTTTTAATTTTTACTATATGGAAGTGTAGAAGAGAAAGGACATTATTCAAGCCTGAGCAATAGCATTAAAAGCCACTCTGTTTGCACTTGCTTTTCGTTTACCACTTTGTTTCTTCCTGAGTTGAAACCAGAGAGTGCTATATTTTTATAACAATAATTTTTTTTTAAAAGCGCAACTGACATTTGTTTTTGTTTCTTGCTGAAACGAATTATGGCAGCCCTAAAGTGGAGTGCACCTTCCCACTAGGACAGCGTGAGAGCTTAGGGTTATACCTCTGGGCACAGGTTCGGCAGACATAACAAGTGATGTACTAGAGGCATCTAAAAGATCTGCAACTATGAGGTGGCTAATGAGGGTAATATTTATTTTTACTGGATTGCTTACATAAAAATACAACTCTACCTTACTTCTAAAATGATCAGGCCAGTATAGACAAAAGGAACAAAAATATTTAAAGTGCAAGAAGCATATATTCTTTCTTTGAAGCACTTCAAAGAGTCTTATGAGAACTATATATATCAAAAATTCTTAATGTCAATATTCTTAAAGGTTAACTGTGAAGCTTAATACCTGTTAGTGCATTGATCTGTGGAGTGTGGGATATCTGAGATGAATTCACTGGCTTCCTACAGTACAGAGGAAAAAAATGCATTGCCAGGTAGTCCCAGGGTGGGGATTAAGGGCAGCTTGGGCCTGGGGGGCATTGGGGAGCCAGCAGGCCATGCCAGCTGTCCCTGAGGACCTGGCTTTTCCCCATCACCCACCCCATTCTGTCCTGGAAATGGCTTGGAGTAGCTCTTGCATTTTGGGAATTTTGGAGGTGATTGTTAAATATGGCCAATGAAAAACTAAGTTATATGTCAGTAGATTATATTAAAGAGAAAGGTTCTATTTAAAGTCCAAAACAATAGCAACTTTAAACTCTGTTCGAAAGCCAGCATAGATATCACGAGTGAACACATTTCCTCTAAGTGCTGTACTTCCCCCTGGCCTGTGAGGGCGGTTGCTGATGTCTGCTGTGCCTGTGTGGAGGAGCGGGCACGGGGGTGTCCTCCCTGTCACACCGTGTCGGTGCCTTGAAACCAGCCATGGGGAGAATTTAGGCCACGCCACTCATCAGGGCCTGGAAATCACACTTCCTCCCTTCTCCCATGAAAGAAAACAGACATGCAAAAGCAGCTTCTGACAAGAGCAATTCAAAATATAAAGAACAAAATAAAAGCTCGTAGGGAATACTGAGATGGATCTTCAGCACATGGGAAGGGGACTAAGATGGAGGGGAAATGGGATTTAAAAAAGAGAAGAATTCTGATGTTTGGGCACTGCACCAGGCCCTGTGGGGAGCAGGGCTATCTGCACTACAAACTTGTGCAGAAAGAAGCAAAGAAGGGGTCTGAGAGGTAGAGGGAGGGGCAGATTTAAAACAAGATTTAAAAATTGATATATTACATACATGTACCACCTCCCTACAATTAATATAATCATTATGAGCTTCAAAAATGAACCAAAAAAATTCACCAGGATTTCATTCCTCTGTCCTCTGTCCATCCCTCTGCTGGAACGCCAGTCAGCCCCTAAACCGTAGGAGTCAGGGCCTCTTTAGTCATTTATACAGGTTGGGCTCCTTTGTTGCCTGTCAGTGGCTTTCTGTAAGAGCCAAGTCACGCCCGGGGTCTCTTCCTACCCTGCGGCACCCCCGACCCCCTTATATGTGACAGTAAGGAAAACGCTCTGGACCTCAAGTGGCTACTGTGTCAGTGAAGCTCACCTTTCTGCTTAGGGCAGAGAATTCTGAGTGGTAAAACATAGGAAGCCAGAACCATGGCCAGGGCCAAAGCTTGGAAGCGCTAGGAGTGTCCCTTATGCTAATATACAAATCACCCCTTCGCCTCGGTGGTGGCCGAGGACCATTCTTAATTGCTGCATAGGGAGCTTCTGTAGGGCACAACGGCTACTGTTATTGTGGTGTAAATGTTTCTAACTGCTCGCTCTGGATTTCTGCACTCGGCGATCTGTGAACTTGTGCCACAGGCCGCCGCTGGGGTGCACCCTGACATTAGCGTTGTTTGCAGGGCTGTAGAACCGCGTGTGAGGGGCCAGCTGCTGTTTCTTCCAAGGCCCCTCTCCCTTCCCCTGGGACCCACGTCGTCTTCCTCCTGGAGTGAGCGGCAGTGCTGGCCATTCCTGATGGGAACACTTCACGCGTTGCCTGGCTGCTTCGCCTAGCTATTTATTTTCCCAAGCTGAAGTTCTGCTCCTGGTCAGAAATCTTCAGCCCTATCGCACACAATGAACGCAAGCAAGTTTCGTGTAGGACACTGTCTGCTCGCGGACTTGTTCTACCGCTGTACCACGAGCATGCCTGTGCTCAGCATTTCCTTCTGACATTTTACCCACTGCTCTTTTCATCCTTAGACATTCTGGGAAGTCTGTGGTGAACTGCGATTCCACGGTGTCACTCCCGCCAGCTGCTCTTTTCCTTGTTTTATTTGCTATTTGAGCACCGCTATGATGGGTCATGGGGTCAAAGGAGTATTTAAAGCCACAGTAATTTAATAGCGAGCGCTCAGCTGACAGTCTCACAGGACCTGTGCCTTTTGAGGGGCAATTATGGGAAGGCATTAAGGAACACGCACCCGCCAGCATGTGGGGATGTTACTTTATTTCAGGACCTAAAAATAGCCAGGTTCATGTTCGCCTAGTTTCTCATAGGACAGCCTGGCCCCTTGTACCATTTTGCTGGTCTTTAGCCTTCTGCTACCATCGAAGCGTAAGGTAGGGATGGGTCCCCATCTTGTGTCCTTGCCTGAAGAAAGGAAAGACTAGGGCCCGCCTCAGGCAATTTGCCTGTCACAAAAATTGTTTCATCTCAAAGTCATGCATGCAATACCTCTTGTAATTCAGTTTTGTGCTAATTCAGTCCCTGATGTTGATGGCATCACCCTTCTGTGTGGGCGAGGACTGTCCAATCGGCTTGCATTGTGTAAGTTGTACGAACACATATCTGTACTGAGCCAGCAGCTTCTGAGATGCATCTTATTTTCCTGCCTCACAGATTCTAACAAGACAGAGACATCTCTTCAAAGCCTCCTGAAATTCATCCCTACAGATTATGCCAGCTACACTCTGGAGCATTATCAGTTTGCAGGCAAGAGCATCGTCATGCAAGAGTCCATAGAGAGCTACGGAGCGGTGGTATGGCCGGGGGTGAGCAAGCCTTCCACTCACCCCAGGTGGTGGTCCCGAGGCCTGTGAGGCCTGGGCAGCTAGCTGGTCAGGAGTTCCCCCTTCTGCCCGTCCCACCTCGAGCACTGCCTGCCTGGGTGCAGCAGGAATAGCATCCTCCCGCTGCAAGCTATGCTTCCTGAAAGATTTTTATGTTAAATACACTTGAACATGTTGGGCAGTGGGGTGCAAAATACACACAATGCTTATAGAAAATGAGGAACGAAGAGTGAGGCCGTGCAGAGACGACTTTCGGCCACACCCATGGGCATGCTTCCTGTAGAAGTGTCTGGGAAGGAAGCATCACTTGCTACCCCTGAGAAAAGATGCTGACACAGGGAAACCTGCCCCACCACTTGCCTATGGTGGCAATGAGGTCATCGCTGGACAGTGAAGAGCCTCGGCTAAGCCCACCTTAGCTGTAATTACTGCTGTGAGGATGTGGGCTGGGTCAGGCACCCAGGCTTAGGGAAGTTCCTCCCTGGGGCCTGGGGCCAGCATCTCTGCACCCTGCCCCAGAGGCCTGTGCTCAGACAGGCTCCAGGGCAGAAGCTGCAAGTCACACTCACATATCCAGAAGGTGGAGTCTCTGACCCAGACGTGTGTGTGTGCGCACGCGTGTGCACACGCATGTGACTGTGTGTCTGCCTTCTCTACCACACCCCAGGGATTTCCCGTTTTGGTCCCGGACCTGAGCTGAGCAGGCACTATGCAGGCTCCACCAAGGTCTGCAGGCTGTGCTGGCAGTGGTGGCTTCATTTCACATCATAGGCACCAGTGTGACTTCCTTCCAAGGCTTTCTTCCTCCTTTTTTTTTTTCGGTACTGGGGATTGAACTCAGGGCCTTGCGCTTTCCAGGCAAGTGCTTATTGTACTGAGCTATCTTCCCGGCCCCCTTCCTCCTTAACTGTAAGCCACTGGTCAACAGACTGCTGCGGCAGTGGTCAGGGAGACCAGGAATGGAGTGGATTTGAGCACTGACTGCTCTGTGCTGGCTGAGGCCTCAGCCTTGCATTTCCTAAAACACCAGTCTTTCCCAGAGCTCAGCTTCCTGACAGCTGCCTGGCCAGTGCATGGCGCTTCTCTGTGAACTCCAGCTCTCTGTGAAAGAGGTCACGAGTCTGCTAGCAGAGCTAAGGGGTGGGTGCCTGCACAAAAAGTTGTAGCTGTTTCCAGGCAAAACTGTCACCAGTGCATGGGACTGGAGCCCACCCCTCCTGGAGGTGGGGCACCTTCAAAGGGAAGCCATCTCCACAAGATCCCAGCCAAGGAGACCGCATGTTTAGCCACTTCTCTAATTTGTAAGAGCTGTGCCAACTTACCTGTTCATTTTGGAGAATGGTCAAATTCGATACAGGCAACTTAACAGGTGTGTTTTCCAGGTCCCATGATGCATTTTATCACAACTGTCCTATGCCAGAGGTCTGAATATGGCAAGGATGCATTCTTGTAAATCCTGCAGGGGACTGAATATATTTAATGATGTCTTTTAGTATTTAACTCTTCATTCAGTGGGGGATGCTACTGATTTCTAATTTTAAGATGAAAATTATTATGTGTTTTCTAGGCTACGGTTTTGTGTCAGTATTTGGAGGAACATACAGAGGAACTGAATCTCCGGGACGCTAAAGTCCTTGAAATCGGTGCTGGGCCAGGCCTTGTTTCCGTTGTAGCCAGTATTTTAGGTTGGTTTGCCTTTTTCTTCTTGTTCTTGTTTCTAAGGACTTTTATAGTAACATCAAACACAGCAAATGCGTAAACATAGGCCACCTGTGGTTTAGGTAGTTGGCTGTGGTGTCACTCACTGAAACCCCATGCTGGGCAGGGGAATCACTACAGTTAGCAACTCGGATATCACAAAGCTGAGAGGCCAGAGGCACAGGTGAGTCCCCGCTAGCCTTCCGTCAGTCACGTAGGGTTGAGCTGGGTGCCAATGACTCGGGGGCGCGGGGACTGAGGAAGGCGCTAGTCATCTTACAGCGCCAAGCGCAGGTGCCGCCCTGACACTCACCCAGCTGAGTCACGCGGCCGAGGAGTTCAGCGCACTTCACCAGCGACACGGGCGGCGCCCACTGGCCTGCTGGTTTCTCCCTGAGCGCGCATGCTGTGCCTGCCCGTGTGCTGCCAGGTAATTACTGCCATTTGTCTCTCTTAGGAGCTCAAGTCACAGCAACAGACCTGCCAGACGTACTAGGAAACCTTCAGTACAACCTGCTGAAAAACACGCTGAAATGGACGGCCCATGTGCCTGAAGTGAAAGAGCTGGTGTGGGGGGAAGACCTGGAAGAGAACTTCCCCAAGGCCACGTCGTACTACAGCTACGTCCTGGCCTCCGACGTGGTCTACCCCCACTACTTCCTGGACAAGCTGCTCGGCACCATGGTGCACCTGTGCCGGCCTGGGACGGCGGTGCTGTGGGCGAACAAGTTCAGGTTCAGCAGTGATTACGAATTTTTAGACAAATTCAAGCAAGTTTTCGATACAACTCTCTTAGTCGAATATCCAGAGTCATCAGTCAAGCTTTTTAAGGGCACACTAAAGTGGGACTAAATGAAACCACGATGTTTTTCTAAATATTAACATGCCTGTAGGGCTGCAGCAACTGCACTGGCCACAGACTTGCTTTCGAAGGTGCATGGAAACAGCTGTACGCCCAGCGCCCACACTAACAGCACTGCAGCAACTTCCAGAATTAAGATTATCTGGCTAGCCTAAATGTCTACTGAGAATACGTAAGCCACAAAAATAGCTTTGCTGACTTCCAAAATAAGTTTTGCAGGTGAAAGGGGGTTTCCCTCTTGTTATTTGTGCCGCGGAGCCTGGGTTTCCCCGTTACTTCTGCCGCGGAGCCTGGGTTTCACAGCTCATGTCTTTTTGCCGTGTGCTTTCTGACACCATTGAAGAGAGAGGGCACAGAGTGCCAGCAAACAGCTACAGGCTGAACTCTGATTAAAAGTGATGCGCACAGAGACCGCTGGAACGAGGAAGGAGTACGCTAGGGATTCCAACGAACTTAGATGCTTCCCCTCTGTATCAATTACCCATGACAATTAGAAGTTAATCTCTGGGTCATCTGCTTTTTTCTCATTTTTATAGTAAGATTCTAGGAAGGAATGGCTAACAGATTTTTTTTTCTGATAACTGAATATACATTGAAAAGAATCAGTTATAATAAAATTAAGCTCCTTTGAGATTGGGAAAATATTCCACCCACTATCGTTTATTACTATTACACTGGAGATTTCAGATAATGTGGCTTTAAAAAACCCCAAAATGTGCAAATTTGAAATGAAACACTATACAGGGATGACAGGACTACGTCAGGCCAGGGTCAGCAAATGTTTTCTGGAAGGGTCAGCTCATAAACATTTTAGGCCTGCCAGCTACATGCTGTTTCTACAGAATATTCCTTGTTACCTGGCTTTTACAGTCACTTATAAAAAGGTAAGAACCATTCCTGGCCAGCAAAGATAGGTTGTGGGTTGAATGAAGCCCACAGTCATAGTTTGCTGGTCCTGCCACTCTATGCAGTCTACAAGCGAAGGCTACCAAGTGTCAATATGCAAAGCTCAATTTTGCTTATATGTTTTAAATACAAGTAGTTAGAAAATAAAATTTAAATAAAGAGATCATTTATGCTAGCAATACTACATGCAAAAACATCTTAAAAACTGTATAACATTATTGAGCAAAATTAAAGATAGCCCAACAGCAAGAAACCCATGCAGGAACACTGGGATTCATTGAAAGGTGTCACTGGCCTCCACCCTGATCCACACAGGCGATGTGAAGTTGTCACCCAAATGCCAGCATGCATCCCATGTCTAGAATTGGCCCAGCTGACTCTAAACGTGAAGGCCCAGAGGAGGCAGGACATCCCCGAAAGAGAGGCAGGAGGTTGGCTCCTACTTAGGTGAGACACACTTTAGTAAGACTTTTCTTGTGTGTGTGTGCCAGGGATTGAACTCGGGACCCTGCCCTTGCCGGGCCCGGGGCTTACGCTACTGAGCTAGCTCCCTGGAGTGTCAAGGTGCAATTTAAAGATGGGATAAACTGAGATTCAACAGTACTTCAGGTAACAAATGCTTTTGTTTAGCAAGATTTTGTTTTCATTTACATGCTCTGTTGGGTGACAAACATGAATGTGGCCATCTTTTCCAGAATTGTGGAACAAATTAAGTTGGTGAACCAAGGCACCACTGCAGCACTAGTATTGATCGCTAATATTAATATGTAGTGCTATTTTCAGAATGAACTTTTATGCTCCCTATAAAAATTAAATTTCTGCAAATTTAAGGGACAAATGGATATTCTAGTCATAATTTCAGAGATTTAATGGGCTCCATTTTCTTAATTGCAGTTGCCTATTAAGAACAGGACTCTCAGACCAGGACACAGCACCTGTCTGGCAAGCATGAGGTCCTGAGTTTAATTCCAGGTACTAAAAAATAAAACAAATACATTTTAAGAAAAGGAGTCTCCAACGATTTGATGGTGGATGTTTCCACCAAAAAAAAAAAAAAAAAAAAAAATCTTGGCTGAGCCAGTAGCATTAATTTCCTTCTCTTAAGCAAAGGGAAGAAAAACGCCTTTTGCCATGCAGTCCCTTTGGATATAGAAGCGACACAATCAGGCTGTAACACAGAAGAAAGGTGATAGGAAATGATGGCTACCTTTCTTGTCTGGTAATGAGCAGCAGGCACAGACATTTCTGAGGCGGTTCCTCTTGTTGCACCCAGTTCTACTTGCTGCTGCCTCTGTCAAGTGAGCAGTGGTGGGAGACACGAAGCAGTGTAGAACGCAGCTTTGCTGATGGGATTTCAGTAACCAAGTCAGCTGATGTCAGCACAGGACAGATGCAGAAGGGCAGTGGCTCAGAATAAGAATTTAGAAATGTATCCTACCTATGTGGCCAACTGATTTTGACTAAGGTGCTAACGAGAAAGTAATCTTTTAAACCAGCAGTGTCAGAATACTAGTTTATATACACACACAGACACCCCTTCAAATATCTTTCATTCTACACACAGAATGCAACTGAAACAGATCATAAGCCAAAATATAGGCGCCGGGGCAATGAAAACTGTAAAACAGAAACATCTTTGCTGTCATGAATTAGACAAAAGATACCTTAACTGTGACACCAAAAGCACAACTATAAATGAAAAAGCTGTTGAGTTGGACATTATCAAAATTAAAACCTTTGCTTTTCAAGACAGAATAAGAAGCGCAAGGGAGAAAGTACTCACAAACACACAGACGGGAAAGGGCTTGCGTACAGAACACGGGTTCCCTCAGCTCAGTAACAGGACAGACGAGACAACTGAAAGCAAAAAGCAAAATGCTCGAACAGAAAATCATTGAAGAAGAAACACGAAGGCCTAGTCAGGACTAGGGACGGGGAGCTGTGGTGTCTCACTGTGGCAAGACACAAAATGACCACTGGGAGGATTCGGTGGAAGACGGCACCAGTGAGCCCCGAGAGGCTGCACAAAGGCCGTGAGTCTCACACTGGGCCCGTGGGCTGTGAGGCGGCACAGCCACTTGGGAAAGCTTGCTCATCTCTTGTCAGTGAAGGCACACACACTGGGTTATGTTAGAAAGAAAGATGCCATCAAATGGCAATTTTGTCCCTAGGTGTCTTCCTACAATAAATCAATACAAATATATATTAAGTGGGGAATGGAAAAACCGTAGCACATCATACAATGAGCTATTACCCTGGGTAAAAGGAACAGATAAACCTGCAAACAATTGGATACACTCAACAATGGTATACTAAAGAGGAGGAAAACCCAAAGTCTACAAAGTCAAAACCATGGCGATAGAAGGCAGGTCATGGGGGTCTGAGAACGGACCAGGACTGCAGAAGACTTTAAATGCACGACAGAATTCTTTCAATGACTGGAGATGTTCTAACACTGCACTCTGTTGATGGTTAAAATATCTTCCAATTTTTTTTTTTTAAAGAAAATTATAGCAATGGGGCCCTATCCTCTAAATGTTTTCCTAGATTTACAAATGTGTCTCTTTCACACTCCAGAATAAGGGGTATGATTCTAACTTAAAAATGGATAAAAGTCTTTTTAGAAAAGGTACATTGGTTGCAGTTATCTTTGCATCATAGAAAAAGTTAAATATGTGAAAAGCAGATAAACTGCCTACCTTATGTATGTGGTTTACTGCATGGCTACCAGGCTGGTAATGCCATCATGTAAGAACAGGGTCTCCAACCCTCGTCCCCACATGAAACATTAACTCAGTGGAAATCTTTTCTCCTCCAGACCTCTACCCACTTCTCTTCATATTGATTTTTTTTTTTTTTTTTTTTTTTGGTGGAACCAGGGATTGAACTCAGGCCCTTGCGCATGCCAGGGAAGCACTTATTCCACTGAGCCATCTCCCCAGCCCCTCTTCATACTGATTTGAAGTAAATCCCAGCAGGCCTTATTTTGTAAGTTCCTCTTGTATTGTATGTACGTAAGATACATAATTGTGGTATTATCACATCCCAAGTATAATTTTATATATAATTTACATGTTATATTTATCTATCCACCAATCAAAATTTATTCAAAATGTGTTTTTAGTTTTGCCAATCAAGGTCCGAATAAGGTCCCTGTTCTTCCATCCTGCTTTCTTGAGCCTTTTTACCCAGTGCATCACCAGTGTCTCTTCATTTGCTCCACTATCCTGTTCTTTCTATATATAATACCTCTTAAATTCTGAGGCCAGGAAGCAGAGTCCACGCGCAGCTCAGCCCAGCAGCCAGGTGACACTGGGTGAGTATCACAAGCTGCTAGGAGTCACCAAGTCCTGAGGCAGCTTACGTACAGCAGAGGCACAGGTTAACATGAGCGCCTGTGCTACATGCATACAGCGAAGGGACACAGAAGTATTTCCAGGTGCTCCGCATGCTCCCCGCATGGCTGAGACCTGGTACGCTCAGGTTCAGGGTGAATTTGGCTTGGAGGGCCAGGAATGCTGACACCTTAGCTGCAGAGCCACAACACGGATGCTGCAGGGGTGACATGGCCTTGCTGTCTTGCTGTTAAATGACATCCTCTCACATGAGCAGGGTGTTGGCAGTTGACAAGGCTGCCCAGCGTTCTGTTCAGGAAGCCCTCCCGGTCAGTGGCACTTTGCACCCTTTCCTTTTCGAGTTTCTAAGAATTCACTTAATAGTCTGTTTCCTTTCAGTTTACTGTTTATTACTACTGGCAATGGTTATGATGCTCAGACTCACTGTTGAGTTTATTTTCTCACTCCGCAAAAATAACTCGAGATTTTTTTCTCAGTGTGGGTACCGAGGTGGTGTTGAAAAGGATCCTCCTCATCCATCCCCCTACATGCAGGCTTCTTACACAGACCCTACGGGTGAAGAGAAAGATGTATGTGTTAATACTAGTCCCTCTAGGGGTCTGGAGAACGAGACTGCACAAGGAAACTTGGTTAATTCAAATCAAAATCACGTGAACATATCAAATCCTGGGACAGGACTTTCTGGAAGCATGAGTCTTGAGACTTGCAGTAAGGAGAAACCCAGCTGGGCTCTGCAGGGGTAGAGAGCCATTAATTCTAGGGAAGAGGTAATACTATCAGGAAGCAGAGAATCCATGGTAAAACTCCCACAGGAACAACTGGAGGCATGGCATTGGTACTGGGCACACTCTAGCTCCAGTACTTCTTGAAAAAAAGTTATCCTCACCTGACTCTGTCAGTTACTTTCGGTGAGTGTGAGGCAAAGGTTGGCCACTTGGCCTAGGAACAGACTTTTCAAAGCACCGACGACTACAGGATCCACAAATGACCAGCCATGGCTGTCCCAGCAAAACTTCACTTATGGAACAGGCAGTGGTCCCCGGGGCCAGTTTTCTGATTTCTGACCTAGGCAATATGTACTTACTAGGAATGCAAAACTTGAACATAACAAATTCTGACATTCATAATCCATCGGTCAGCAACAGGATCTCAGGAAGTCACCCTACTCTTCTTCAGCTTCTCAGTTACTCTGCTGGGCTAACTCTACATGAGGGGACCCGTATGTGTGAAGGTAAAATTACTTGTAGTAACTCGAGAACCTTTGTGCCTGCTGATGGGCTTCAGAGCCTCAATGTTCCAGAAAGTATGTGCAAAGACCTTTTACGCATATTCGTATTTTCTCATCAAGGTTCTAATGCCTTCTACAGGTAATAGTCGTCACGGAATTACTGGACAAATTTAACTTCTAGGCTTTTTGTACACCAGTAAACTCTCAGGAAACAAGATGAAAAAACTACACAAACACAATTTGCTACTATAGGTAAGTGACTACAGACTTTTTAATATTATCTACTTCTGTCACCTTATTTCAGGAGGCAGAATGAGAAGCAGGAACAATAACCAGAAAGATGAAAGGATAAGGAGTTAAACATACACAAAAGCTAATCACACACCAAGAACTAGAAATATATTATTCAAATAATGGCAAGCCTATAAATAATCTGCTTAATCTTTTTATAAGGATTACTTCCACTGTAACCCCAAATTTGATTTATGAAAAATTAAGACCAAGTTTAAGAGGCTTCAATATTCACTTTTATTATTCATATAAAAAAATTAAGGTATCAGAGTGCATATGGTGTACTGTGATCTTGGTTTGCACATTTATTCATGTGTTTTACATTATTTCAACTGTAATAAACATACCAAGTGTGTCTGATTACAATTCCTGATAAAGATCCAGCTGTCTGGCACTTACACATGTTGTATTAACTCATTCTGACACTGTGCACTTCAGAAAGATGTGGAAATGACTTGCCTATTGTAGCCCCAAGATGAAAATTTACTGAAACAATTATGTCCCAGCAAATATCACATCTTTGTGCCGGTTTTATTTTTCTTCTTAATTGAATGTAAATGTTTGCAAAAACAAACAAACAAAAAAGGAAATCTGGTAATGAAGTAAATTTTAGTCCAATAAATAATTTTTAGCTACTTTTAATGTAGCTTCTTAAGGCCTTCATACAATTGAGGAAAATCAAAGTCAAGCATGTTAAAACCCTGTTCATTTATAAAATAAAAAATAGAATTTTAAAGGTTTGCAGTTAAAAGTTACTGTTCAAAACCTATCATGCATGCAGGAAGCTGCAACCCAACTCAAAATGCTTGCCAGGGGCAGGCAGGAGGGCACATCCCTTCCTTGCCAGCTGTAGGAGGCATTCAGGAACACCGCCATGTCAGAGGTTTAGGTTTACATGTATTAAGCCACACGCCAGTGAATTCTCTGATAAATACACATCGTTTTAATGATCAGCATTCGATAGTAGATGAAAACATGCATGAGACTAAAAATGCCACAAATCTGTCCTCATATCCATTTGTTAGAAAACTTTCTCTTTACAATGGCAAGTCTTGGTCTTTATTCTAGAACACGCAGTAGTCCGGAGGGTACATGATGGGGAGCCAGTTTTCAGTGAAAGATGCGCAGTGGGTCCATCCGAGTAATTTCATCAGCTGCAAAAGAACAGTTAATCGATTAGTCAAGGAGCTGACAGACTCCCACACTCAGCACTCAGGGTGAAATCCACATCACATGCTTAGCAATGACAAAGTAGCAGCACACAGAACCTTCCTTCCCTTACCCTGCCATTGGGCTTCCTGCCTACCAACAACCCACCTTCTTAAGTGGTCAGCCAACTTTCCTTCCAACCGACTAGCCCTTCTTGACCACCAGCACTGCCGACTTCCCTTCTTCCTTTTCTACGAACCTGACATTATCTTTTCTTCCTTCTAGTTTAACCAGCTTGCTCCCTCCCCTTCCCACAAACCTAAATTCTTTTATTTTCCTGAGTGAGTATAAGTCAAACACTCTTCCATGTAGGCAGTGGGAAACAGCACTACACAAACTCACTTCTCACTTTGAGGAAACTTATGCTCCAAGAACAAGAAATAAATCACTGAATGGATGAAAACATATGTAATGAAGACACTTATCAGGCATACAATAATAACAAAATGACATAATACAGGGTATAACTGGGAAGCCAGGCAGGCAAGAAAGATCTCTGGGGAGCAATGCCACCGTCACCTCCTGTGACCACTGGGGCGGAGCTCTTCCGACAGGCGCAGCAGCAGGGGACTGCTGTGTGTGCACATCCTTGCCCAGCAGAGGCTGGCCAGAAGCAGCAGTGTGAAGAAGGCCATGTGTGTTGTGAGACACAGTGGGAGATGGGAACAGGGACCTCAGGGGTACCCAGGAAGTCTGCCTTCATTTGAATGTGACACATATTCCCAGTTTTCTGGCTGCTGCACAGAACAGCCAGTGGAGGGCAGAGTGGAGGGGAGACAAGGGTATGACACACCCCGCCATGGCTTAGGGTCACAGGCTTCGCATTCCCCTTCGGTATCCTTACAACTGGCAAGAGAAAGTTCTCCCAGCCCAGCTCGGTCAGAACTCTGAAAGATCTGCAATGGGACCTTGGTTCATGAACCTAATTCCTTTTATAATTCTGGTTGCATGCCAAGCTGGATGAGAACTGAATCTAATTCAGCGTCAGGCTCAAGGTTGACCTTGTGGGGTGATCGCACTTGGCTCTCGTCCAGCTCAGTCTGTGGCCAGAAACGGGGAAAAGCTTCAGTTTGTGAACCGAGGCACCACTGTCTGAATAAGCTGCTTCATAATCTGGGTTGACTGCTGAAGATAGAGAGAAGTCTTCTGGGTTTAGATACCGATTTATATTATTTCCAGAGAAACCTACTGGTCAGTTTTATATCTGCATGCCCTCATCTATGACTGCACAACAGAGTAAGGTTAAAGTAATTTGTATATAAGCTCATTTCTGTATTTGAAATGAACTCATGTGGAAAGCATGACTGCAGACTTTCTCTGCATATAATGTTGGTATATAGGAAAATATTGCACAAAACTGGCCTATCATCACAAACAAATAAAATTAAATTAAGTTCAACCAGTTTAGAACCAAAGAAAGGCGTATTTAAAGAGTATTTTCTGGGGCCGGGGAGATAGCTCAGTAGAATAAACGCTTGCCTAGCAAGCACAAGGGCCTGAGTTCAATCCCTGGTTCCGCAAAAATAAAAAAAATAAAAAAAAAAATAAAAAAAAAGAATTTTCTTCATAAAGGAAAACTCTGGCTAATTATATAAAGTAGATAATGTATTTCACCTTTGCTAAAAACACTGGAGGATAACCTAGGTTTTTTGGAACTGGAGTGAAAAATGTCTTAAAAATTTTAAATAAGTAACTGATGGTCTCTAATGTTTACCTTATAGTTTAAATTATAGTGATGAAAGTAAGTTTGGTATGATAAAACCTTCCTACGTCACTATGATTACATCTTCCTCTTCTTGTCCCTATGCAATACTGAAGTGACTTTTTTTTAATCTTTTAAATTTATGTGTTTGATACAGGGTCTCACTATGCAGTTCGGACTTGCAGTGATCCTCCTGCGTTAGCCTCCCTGGTGCTGGGATTACAGGTGTGTGCCACCACGCCACGACTTGGTTGCTGGCTCAGCACATGGGGAGGTAGGGCCAGTGCAGCATGTAGTGCTGGGGATTGAACCCCGGTCCCTGCACTTGCCTAAGCAGGCGCTTAGTCCACTGAGCTCTCTCTCCAGCCCCCAAAGTGACATTTATTTTATTCTTTTTTGTTTTTTTTTAAATTAGTTTTATTGAGAAACAAATAGCAGTGAGACAGTTTCAAAACAGGTTAGTAGGACAGTTACAATGAAGTGACATTTAACAGTAACAATTTAAATATCACTTACTTGAATACAATTTTTCCAGTTTTCTTTTGTTGGTTTTTCTTCTACAAGCTTAGTTGCAAATTTAAGGCCTCTCCCATACATTTTATTTACTAATGCATGCTTGTATGCAAAAGTCAGAACCTATGATACAAAACAAGGTAACAAGTCACCTTTAAAATATTTGATTTTCAGGCTAGATAGTGGTTTAGTAACAACACATTTTAGGCTTTACTAGAAATATAGCTTTCAAAAGAAGTCTGCTGCCATCACATAGTTTTTAAAAGCTTTTGAAGAAAAAAATTAGTGTCTCCAAAAAGGCTATGTAATTAGAAGGATATTTATTTTGGGGAAGAAAACCAGCTGTTAAAATCCACTTTGCTTCATGAAGAAAACAAAAAAGAACATAAAAAGTAGGTTAGAAATACAAATGTGTAGGCATATAAATCATTAAAATTATAAAAAGTATCACATCATGTAGACTTGTTCTTTTTCTGTATTTGTTCACGTTTAGCAATCCTGCCATGCTGGTGTGTGTTCCTGTGCCAAGGCACGTGTTCAAGCGCTGCTGCCGGGACCTAACGCGCAGCCCTCACCCAGCAGCGCTGCTGCATGAGCAGGAGCGGGCAGCAGCAGCCTCACGGCTCGTCAGTCACTCAACAGCACTCAGCCAGGCCGGGCCCTTACGTGTACGCACCAGCACCCCAGCGAGAGCCCACAGCACTGGCCCACCAAGCCCTCCAGTAACCCAGGCAGGAAAGCAAATACCGGGGCCCGGCCCGGTCTGCGAGCTCGGCCAGCACGTGTGCACTACAGGGCGCGTCCTCTCGCCGTCCCTGTTCAACAGGTAAGACAAGCGGACACCTGCACTCAGCACCGTGCTGGTGGGAGCAGAGTGAAGACAAGGAGCTGACGTCCGGGGGAGGGCAGGGACGACCACGTGATGCCGGCGCCTGGGGCTTCCCGACTGTGCCCACGCGCTTCCACAGTGCTACCAGGCTTGGGGGAGAACCTGGCACACACTGAAGATGTTCCTATTTTCACTCCTTCAAATTAGCACAATTAATCCCAAGAACGAGCACCCGAGACTCAGATGACGGACTACACAGACTGCTGACTCGCTCACTTTCTCTTCTCCTCCATATGCAACCAGACTGATAAACCTGCTAGTACTATCACCTCTACTTCCAGAATTAATTCTGGAATTTAAGATATTTTTATAAGCAAAATAAAAGTTTAAGCTATTTTTCCAGGTGGGTTTAAAGTCAATTAGCCACAAATTAAGATTACTTAAAAGTTAAATTTTTGAGGAAAACAAAAATTATTGAACCTAACCAGTATTATCACCCCTCACCCCCAAATGCGCACATAAATAGATGTGGGGAGGATTTAAACTTTAGCTCTATGCATAACTGATTCAACTAAAAGGCTACTACACACATTCTCAAACCTTTCCAAGACCACTGTGGGTGAGCGATCTCCTTGCAGACCTACACCAGCGGCAAGGCAGGACCGCGTAAGAGGCCAGGGCCAACGTGCCTTCTCCGGAGCGGGCCCGGCCCCCGTCCATTCGCTCCCCTTCTCTCCGGACCGCCAGTGAGGCACAGGTGCTCATGTGTCCCCCGAGACTACCAGAACAAGAAGTACAAGGGCTACCTTGTTGTCAAAAAGGTCAGTCCACTTGGTAGTTTCCCAAAACGTTTCTGACAGAGACTCTAAGGCACCTTCGCCTTCCTCCTCCTTTCCTTCCACAGCCCCAGCCGCTGCCCCGTCGTGCGCCTGCGTGTGGAGCAGGTGGTCGGCCAGGGCGCAGCCTTTCCTGCACAGCGCGTCCACCAGCGTGGATTTCTGTTTGTCCATGTCACTGAAAGAAAGCAAAAACAGCCCACAGATCAGTGCTATCTCTTGAAAACAACAATCCTATCTGAAATTAAATGCATGCGTGTTTTATGCCTAAGGTTTACATGCAGAGATAGTGTGGATACATATGCTACATGGATGTTGTACATCCAGTAAAATTTATTTGTAGACATCAAATTAGCCACTATATAACATACCCACTTCCTCCAAAACACCTGACTGGAAAATAATCAGCCTTGGAAACTAGTGATCAGAAATGCCAGCCCCACGCAG